ATTTTATGAAGTTGAAAATTAATGAAAAAATGAATTTTAAAGAATCAATTTGTGCCTAGAGGTAATTTTAAAATTTTTTAAAAAAGATGGGAAAATATAAAAGTGAGTATTAATGACCAAAACAATTTTTAATCTTTACCATAATGTAAAGAATATTAAAAAATGCATTACAAACCAAATTCTTTATTTTAAAAAATTTATATACATTTTTTAATTATTTTTTTAAATACCGGCTGATCACCAAAACTGCCCAAAACAAGAACCGGTCAGTGGTCGGTTCCGATCTAACTGGGCGGTTACCAGTTAGATCGCCCGATTTTTCCAACAAAGACTGGTTTCGCACTACACATGGTCAAGCCACCTAAGTCTACATTCTCTCATCTTATCGCCTATTGGTGTCACACTTAAGTTCTCTCGAATGTATTCATTTCAAATTCTATCCCTTCTTGTCTTGCTACTCATCTATCTCAACTTCCTCATCTCAACTACACTCATCCTATGGATATATTCTTTCTTGACCGCCCAACATTCCATCCCATAAAGCAAAGCTGGTCTCAAAGCTGTCTAATAGCGTCGATTCAAGATTCATGAGAAGTTTTGACAAAGTTTTACATTGGCTGCCTACCTAACACAGCCCACCTCCTTTTTCCGACATTGGGACAGGTTAAGGGAAAGTTATAACAGGTTCGAAGCTTTAAATATACAGACACCTTAGGCTTGGGTTGCATCAAATTGCATAGCAGGTGCAACTAGAGGGCCATAAAACCCATGAAATAATGAATAAACTGAAAAATTAAATAAAATAAATTGGATTTAATATTGGATTGGGTGGGTTGGGGTTGGGGTTGGGGTTGGGGTTGGGGAAGGGAGAAAAGTCCCCCGTTCATATTAAAGGAGGCCCTCTATTGAGCCAACAAAAGCCACCCTACAATCATCTCTTCCAAACACATCGAAGTTGAAGATAGGCTCACCTTAACTACTATAAAAACTCTTTAACACGTAAAAATTTCAAGACAGCCATCAGCCTATAGAGCTTGATTTCTTGGTAATGAGATGAAATAAATGAAGCATGAAACCAAAAGCATCCCAACATTCCTTCAATCTTTCTAGCATGATTCTCATGGCGAATATCATAAATGTCAAAGCATTATGAGTGCATGAGTATTTGAAGAAGAGTGGCTTGCCCGCCTCAAATTTTGTACAAATCCGCCAACAGCTTACCAGATCATAGAGGTCTTCATGGACCCAATCTTCTATATTCAGTTCAGGTAATGAACGATATCCATTTGCATTGAGCCACCGGCCTCTCTCAACTTTCCGACAGTTTGGGCATTGCATGGCACCTTTTGCATTAAATGCAGAACCAATGCAATCTGAGAAAGAAAAGTACAACAACTTAGTCAACAGGCATAAAGCAGTGCATATATAAGTAAATATTAAGTGTGACAATAGGGAGAAATCCATCATGGACAAGGTACAAATTATACAGTTAAGCATTTTCTAAACTGCAGGAATCACGGTCAATTGTCCAGGGTAACCAAATGAGACCAAAGTTATATTCAAAGGCACAACCTCAGTCCGAAGAATATCACATGCCATGTTTTGTACATTTTGTACACCAAAGAATAGTGGCCTAGAGCACAATGAATACCGAACCACATGCAAGGATAGGAGCGACACAGTTTTTAAGGATGTAGAGTTACACTACACACAAGAGCAACTACGCCATTAAAGTACAAACTTTCAATGGGATCACTTGGTGGCCTAGAGCACCATGAATACTGAATCACATGCAAGGATAGGAGCGACACAGTTTTTAAGGATGTAGAGCTACACTTAACACAGAAGAGAAACTATGCTTTTAAAGTACAAAATTTCAATGGGATCACTTCTATAACCAAAGGATTTTTCTCTTTTATTGCTAAAAAAATTATAAAAAAAGAAACAGACATCAAGGTGAACTCAGTGATTAAGCCCTTCCAGCTCCACTAACACAGACTCCCAAGAAACACTGCTAAGTGCCAGTGCATCAGTAACACCGTTGGCCTCCCTGAGTTCATGGCAAATGAGAAATGACCCAAAGAACATATGTATAAAAAAATTCTCATTGAATGAACACCAAAATTGCTATGGGACAATAGCGTCCTTTGTTGTCTACCACATCAAATTCAGACTGTCACCTTCTACTAAAATGTGTCTGGAGGGAAAAGTTTGAGACCTATGAGATGGCATGGGCCTCAACTAAAGCATTGCCAATGTATCTATTACATCTATAACCAAAATCATACAGAGGGATGCCTCTAGTTTTTAAAAAGGGGGGCTTCCCCCACATTAAGCCCACATATTAGATTTTAGGGTTTAAGGAAAAAGAAAGAAAGAGAGAGAGAGAAACAGAGAGAGAGAGAGAGGGAGAGAGGATTCAAAGGAAGAAATATAAAAGAACTAAATATAGAACCATCATCTTTTTACTAACTAAAATGCATACAATCGCAAAATAAGCAGCCTTAGGGGGTGAACACTATTCATGGTTCTTTAGAAGAAATTCTAGGATGGAGAAATGGAGGGCTATGTGCTATGCTACCAATTGCCTTGTCCTTCCTATTTTTTCAGACAAAATTACCCCCCACTCAATTACTTTTGTTTGCAAAACTGAACCCCTAGACCAAGCTTTACCTATCTCTAAATTATGGCCAAAAATGTAACATCTTGTTCCACATTCCCTAAAAAGCCGCTTTCCTGATTTATATATTCTCTAATAAATGTGAAATTTAAGGTTGTGCCATTTGCTTTCCAAGAAAGACCTCTTTATAATCACATTATTTCATAAGATCACTCATTTGGTAAGGATGGCTTAGGGTGTCCCAACCTTTGGATTCCTCCTTAGATGGCCAGATACGGATATGGGAATGGATGGAGAGAGCATGGACACAACTAGATCATCATCATCATTTTAGCCTTTTCCCAATTAATTGGGGTCGGCTAGATAATTTATGGAAAATACAGGACATGCATATTGCTAGGCATATTCGATTTGAAACATCGATAACATATTTTGTAGCTTGAATATATAACACATAAATGCATGCTTCCAATACATATATACATATATACATATTATACACATCAACAATGCATGAATATAGTATTTTATTCATAATATATTTTTTATAGTTATGTCAAATTATATTTACAAGTATCTTAGGAATGTATGGTATTAGTATCAATGTCGATACGAAATGATATGACAAAAGGCATGTTAAGCATATACAAGTATCAGTACATCATAGGGTTTCCTCTCTGAGAGCGGATGGCACCCCAACGTTTCCCTTTCCTTCTAAACAATCATAAGGACCTCCAGTATCCAATTCATCATCATCATCATCCGAGCCTCATCCCAACTATTTAGGGTCTTCTAAACGAATCTTGTTCCCCTATTCCGCTCTATCAAGGGCCATACCCTTAGTCATACCATAAGTCAGCACATCTCTTCCCACTACTTCCATCCATGCTGTTTTGGGCCTTCCCCTTGCACTTTTAGAGCCTTCTATATGAACCCAATTGCCCCTCCTAGCTCGTATTGTTCTAATTCTTTAACCGAACAAGAGAATGATTTCAAAATTATAGATACTTCTCCATATACAAGATAACCTAAATCTCATGACTACCAAAGCTGGATAATCCAGTGTTCCACAGGTTATGAATTTTAGTACACTACGGTCACAAGTGGCCACATATTGTATCTAGTATCCTCAAAACCAGCCAGCTTTACATGGATGAGGACATGGGTATCACCTGTCTATTGTCAACATAAAGTAATAACACTTGTCAAGAAATTTCCGACTCGGACGCAGCATATCTATGACTCGTAATGAAAAGCAGAAGTGTTGAGATTCATGCACACACATACAACACTTTTAGGAAAACCAAATTGGCCATCCGGGTATCACCGGATCAAGCACATCACTCTTTATGAAGCCTAAGAAATCGATTGTTCCAAACCTTTTTTTCAGAAAAAGATACGATCCGAAAGTAATGTTATTAAAGGATATGATCTCCAATATCCAATTACATTCTAAAAATAGGGTTAGTGATTTTTCAATAAATAAAGCGGCATGCTACTGTTCCTTAGTAGGTAGATGAATTGACAGGATTCAAACAGGGATTATGCAGCAGCTAACGATCAAGCTAGGAGCCCATATCCCAACAATAAAAAGGTTATCCAGCTTGGTTTGTGGCTGGGAAGAACTTCAGGGTCAAACCTTTAACTTCCCTCATGCATAATAGATGTATGCCACTAGGCTAAGGCCCAAGAGACTCATGCAAAAATTTTCATAGTAAACGTATTTCGTGCTATTTAATAATATAAATGGTAATTAGTTCATGACGGTTACCCACAAGAAACATTGGATGTCCCAAGAAGTGCATCCTCCTAAAATGGAACTTATGCAACAATCTTACTATTAGTAAAATTAATATTGTGCAGACACTGTCATTTTCCTCACGAAGATAGCTTCTCCTTTTCTCACAAAGATTCCTTTTTTGGAAACTTCTCATTAACCCAAGTCAGCCAGAGAGGGAAGACTTTTACCAAGTACCCTTTTTGGCCTATATAGACAGAAATGTCAGTTCAATCCACTTCTCCAGGAATAGAGATTTATTTCTTTGAATTATTAGATCTGTGAAATTTTCATAATTTTACTTAGATGCACTTCTGCATGTGTGTGCGTGTGTCACATGTATCGCTTGGTCTGATTACTAGTTTAAGGGAAATACTAGAAACACCCTCACATTTTAGATATTTGAAAAAGGTTCTTAACTTGAAAATGCTGTTTTTAAATAATGAAGGATAGAAAACGTTCAACTTATATGTAAGGCTCGCATGATGTAATGAGCCAGTGTGCATCGTGTCTCAAATCAGCAGATTGTTCCTAAGAAACTGTTTTTGCCGCTTGGGCTCCCAACGATGCAGAAGCAATTTAATACCCACTGTATTTCAAATGGATAGTACTAGATACTCCATATTCAGACAAACACATGACAAACCTCAAACATCAAGTATCATAGACGCATGCACATATAAAAAAGGAGGTCACCTAAACATGCACAAATATATTGATGATAGTATAAGCTAAAAGCCACACATATAAATATGTGCAAAAACACATGAATACAAGACAGAACCAAAGCAAGAGCGGAAGACATGCAAGCAAAAATGCCCACTAGTACATGCAAGCCTGCCAAATTTTTACCTCATCAAATCTATAGATGAACTGTCAAATTATGCTCCTCGCTTTCAAATTGAGAGTGTGTTTTTGTGAGTAAAGCTATTTGTAGTTGTAAACCATCGTCATGAAAGGATGAGAACCTTCCTTTGCTCTACTAAAATTTCACCCTTCCCATTTTGAACAGTTTTACTAGGCTAAGAACCAATTTACTTCTAAACTGACCATACCACGGTCTTAGAAATACGGGACTAAAGAACGTAATAAGTTAAAATGTATTTTCCATTCTACTTTTCATGGGCTAAATATCATTGAATCCTCTTCCTCTCAATTACGCATAGCACATTTGGCCATTCTTTGTTCATGGGAGGCCAACTGGCAACCAGGACAGCCTCCCTTAGTGGTGGCACTGGTGATGAGAGGGCAGTGCAATTTTCAGGGTCTTTTTCAGAAAGAATAACGAGAGAAGAGTGATCAAACAGAAATGGGGCATGTCAAGGGATATAACGTATATTTTCGGTTAGGTTTGAGCAATAAATTGTCAAAAATTTTAAGATAATCCAACAATTAACCCCAGATTATTGACAAGTATTGACATCAGAAAGCCCCACAGGGAGCATTTTTTTAATCAATTTTGAAAGTAAGAAGTCGTAAATGAAGAAAGCCAAAAAAAAAAAAATTCAAGATATGCGCTTTAAGTATAGGCTAAAAAAAATTAGAAAAGGAGCTGAACATGACTTCAATGCAGCCCCCAGAGGGCATCTGTCACTATTACCGAAAGTATACGAGGCAGAAATCCCTCATTTAGTTGACACGATACCATCAGATCCATACACAACAAAACATCTATTCATTGAATGTGCTAAAAATGGCTATAACCTGTTTCCAGCTTCATTAAATCATGGCAGCAAGTAAACCGCAGATCAAAATAACCACGTGGACTGCATTAAGCTTGTGCAGACGCAACCTAAAAGTAACATCCCAGAATTGAAAATGGTAGCAAAGTGCCCACTTCTAAACAAATATCTAGCTAACTGCTTCAGTTCATGCATTTAAAATTCAATCACAACATTCTTTGAGAACTGAAACCCATTGCCAAGTACGGAGGGAAACTAAAACCATTTTTTATCAAAACCAAAGCCCAGTTGAATTGATATATAAAAGAAATAAACACGATAAGAGAGGCAATGTACCCCCAATTGTGTATCAGTGCTTGCTAGAATATCACACTGCCATATATGCAATCCTAAAATGCTTCTGCATCCCCACCATGAACTCACACACCAAAAATGGGTGTTCCAAAAATATTTGCACCCATGTCTTGCAAACGCTCAAACACCATAAGCACCTGGCAACACCACTAAGAAACATCTAATCTAATCTGCAACCTGTGAAAAATGCAACCTTTGAAGGATCCCCTAATATGTCATGCAGTATACACATTACACAGGTCACATTTCTGCAGAAGGATACAATAGAAGGTATTCATCCAAACTGTAACAGAAAGAAAAGATTCTTCCATAGAGAAAGTACGGAGAAAATTGGAAGTAATTTACTCAAGCAAATGTTAAATTTCTATGAAATAATAATGAGGGGGCCAGTGATGCTGCTACCAATAGAGAGAACTGGATCAATCAGGACCTCACAATAGCTCTAAAAAAATAAAAAATGTCAATTTAACCCGACATGCAAAGAAAATCATATAGGATGAACTAACAATTAAAATATATACAAATAGGATAGAGTAGATTCTATGCACAAAGATACCAAATTTGCAGACATCAAGAACAACTGTGTAGACACCAATAAGAGAGAGAGAGAGAGAATATGTAGAATAAATAAAAACAATCAATGGCTCTCCTGGATCTAATTAAATAGTTAAATACATGATCATGAATTAAACTGGTGATCCAAGAAGCCCTAAAAAGAAGAACTTTTGAGATGCCAAAAACAAAGAGAAGATTATAAAGCTCACCTAGATGAAACTGGTGCCCACATTGTAGCTTGGCAATGGACCTATCACCTCCTTCTAGTACTCCTTCGAGGCAAACGGAGCATGAAATAGCAGACATGCTTGCACATTTCAAATCTCCATTTTGATCATCTGAAGAGCCGGAACCCCCCGTATCCATAAACCCTAGAAAAACTCATGCAATTGTTTAAAAATCAGCACTTTAGAAATCTCCGACACAAATAAAAGAAAAAACCCTAAAAATATCTAACAATCCCAATGTGCATGCAACCCTACAGAGATCCTCCAAGCTCAAGCACGAAAATGCACCCAAATTTTGTAACGACACAGTTTCTCACTCTGACGAGCTTCAAAACGCTAAACACTTTATTAATCACTGTAAATCCACAAGGATCAACACCCCAAAAACTCAAAAGAAAACCCAACATACAAATCCCCAAATTTCTCGATCAACCCCAAATATTCTCAAAAGAAAACTCAACCTTACCCCAAATCCAACCATGAGACACTCATTTTACAGACGATCAGGGCAATTTGATTGCGAAAAGGGAAAAATGGGAGGTTTTAAACCGAAATTGAAAGGAAAGAGAGAAATAGAGGAAGAAGAGAGTGAGTTAGACAGTAATTTTATAGACGATCACGGCAATTTGATCCCGCAAAGAGAAAAAAGGGAGGTTTTAAGCCGAAATTTAAAGGAGGAAGAAGGAGAGTGAGTTAGAGAGACAGATAGGGAGGGAGAGTCCGAATACAGGTTTACATAAAATGAGATTATACAGCTCACACACCTCTTGCTCACCAAAAGAAAACCTCGGTAATTTTCTAGAAAAAGTGACGGTGTTTTTAGAGAGAGAAAATTTAGAGAAAGGGGGAGTTGTTGAGGCCTTCAAAACTACCCACCCCCGTAACAGATGAACCAAAACAGGTCCAAGGCTCCCACCAAGCTACGACGCCTCCCTTTCTTTGTTTAATAATTTTTACTCTCTCTCTCTCTCTAACGTCCCTCCTCTTTATATATCTCTCTCCTCGCAGTCTCAGACACGCAATTTTTCTCTCTCCTCTCGCCTTTGGACATTTGTTCCTCTCTCTCTCATCCACCATTCTTTCACCCTCTCTTTCTCTCTCTCTAAATCTCTTTCTCTCTCTCCTCTCTCTCATTCACGCACGCGTGCGTTTTGACATCGTCAACTTTAGGATGCTCATTTTCCCGTTATTACACGCCTTGTCAACGCCCACTGATCCATTCGTATTTTCAGTTTGGTAATAAAAGCCAAAGTTTTGTGACAGCAGTTGGGTTCCCTACATGCTGCTAGCTCCTTTCTAACCGTCAGATCTTAACATGGACCGTTCGAAATTGTTTTTGAAAGATAGCTCTCTCTTTATCTCCCCCCTCTTTAAAGCTAGAGACAGAGATGAGCCCGCATCTCATGTTTCACCAAGCTTCCGCTAGAGAGAGAGAGAGTGGTGGGGTATGAGTGAGGGTTAGTTATTTATATAAATCCTTGTAAAATATATGGATTGTTTTAAAAAAAAATTTAAAAAATTAGTACTTTTATACAAATTCTAAAAATGTTTTAAGCAGCTCGTTATAATTAATGGCATTTTTTTCATGATATTATGTATGGAACGGCATGGTCAATTTATCAAAAAGTTGATTCTCGAAAAAAAAAAACAAAAAAAAAATCCTTAAAAAAAAATTATGTGGGATTCATCGAATCTAATCTGATAAGTGAGATTGCAAATAACTATTTATAATTAGTGACAAAATTTTGAACCACTTACACAAGGTTTTAATGGGTCTTGGGCAAAGAAGCCAAGCTCCTAAAAGTGAGCCATAGGTTCCACTTTTAGTAGAGAAGCCAAAGGCTTCTAATGATTCATCTCATCACCAACCTAACCATGGTCCCAACCTTAGTTGTCCTTTTTGCATAGGACCAAGGTGCATGTTTGGATTGTCCCCATTTGAAAATAGACAAGACCACACAATAGTTGTCTCTTTACAAAGCCTTAACCTCCTCCATCTCTTGAACAAAGTGCACAAACTTTTAACTATGCTTATTTATTTAGAGAAGCTTAGGAAGAAGAAAATTGTCTCAAAATATAAATAATCAATTATGATAAATTAAGGTCAGAGACATTGCCAATATCTGAAAAAAGACACTAGCTATACTATCTATTTTACATACAATAATTTTCTTTGATTTAATACAGCAAAGAGCTTCCATATGTCTCATGTACCTTGGTGTCTTCACCATTGTAATCTAGAATTTTTTTCATATATGCAAGTGACCCAAATTGATTGGATTTTTAGATGAGGCTTCCCTAATTGTTTGGATTTTTACGGTTTTTTTTTTTAAAAAAAAAATACATACTTAAATTCTTGAGTTTAGCAACACTTTTATTTTTAAAAAATTTATCCTTATTTTAATTCATGCATTTTTTGACTTTACTTCTTAATTTTTTATAAATAAAATATATTATCGTTATTTGAAATTTAATTACAAAAATTATTTAATTTCAAATTATGATATTATATGTGAACAATATCTTAAATAGAGAATAATATTTAAACTAAAAAATAGATATTAAACTTTTAGAAACTAAATGATTTGGGCTTTGGCTTTTGCCAAAGCCAAACGGCTTATCTTCCATCCTTGTCTTTTTCTAAATAAAAGCACTGTTCAAATTTAAATTGCCCTAAAAATATACTGCCAAAACTTATCTTTTATCCCTCCTTTTCTTCCAAATGGCTACCCATGCATGGCATCAGATACTTTACCCGCTTGGTTCCACTAAAGATAGATATGTGTATCTGGCATCATAAATTAAAGACTTATCCAATCACATTTGTATATTCATAAAAAAAATTTATTAATCTCGACCATTAAATTAAAAAATATAAATCCCAATTATATACAACGGTCCAGATCATTCCAACCCCTTAAATAAAAAGAACCTTTTCACCAATCTTCATGCACGTGCATTCTTTTTTTTACATATAAAGACTTTCAAGTATCAAATTTTGATCAGAGAATTGAAAATACATCAAAAATATTATGTGACATTGTTGTTGGCTCCATACAAAATCATTAGTTAAGCCTAATCCAATTATGAGTAGATATTGGTAAAATTTTCTTATTAATCTCAACCGTCAAATTAAAAAATGCAAGGCCCGCCTATGTTAAATGGTCTATATATTTTAGGGATTGTATACTATAAGTTTAATCCAATCATAGTTGCATATTCCCAAAATTTCCCTATTTGCCTAAACCATTAAATACAAAATACAAACTCCTAATATGAGGAGTGGGGAAGCCTAGCCTTTTTTACAAAATATTTTCACGTTAAAAAATTTCTTTGTGGTTAGGTGTGCGAATATTTTCATAACAATCACCGGTCAATTAGTGTGAAAAGATGCACGAGACCAATTGATATAGAAATATTCTCACACTTAACCACATGAGAAAATTTTTTTCACATAAAAATATCTCTCGAGAAATATGTTCAAGTGAACCAAACGTGTAGTTAGACGTACTTCTTTTTTTTAGACATATTAAGAAATTTATCATATGTAAAGTGTCGTATAGGCTATCACTTAATATTATACAACTGTCACTTAATATATTTCAAATAAAGATATTGCAAGCTTCTATGTTTTAATTTAAATTTGCATAAATTGCATTAATTAGTAAAAGATTGTGGGTTAAACTACGATATGCAAGCCGAGCCTACAGATCTAGGCTCAGTCCCATCCCAATCTCAATAACTAATAGGTTTGGGTTAGGCTTGGCCAACTCCAGTAAGGGCTAGGCCTAGGCCTAGCCCATTGCCACAACTACCTCATATATAGAACGATCTAAACCGTTGCCGACCCTTAAAAAGGAGGAACCTTTGATGTGTTTTTACACATCACTTATATGTGGTTGGAGACCCACAACCCCACAATTATCTGATTTTGATTGATCGAATGGCTAGGAGTGAATAAAAATAATATTATAAGTTATCACTAGCTAAATTTATCAGGTAACAATTAATGTGTGATATTATTATTATTATTATCAGCCTATTCGATAAAAATATTAATAGCTAGATGTTTCTAGACAAATGTAAATAATGTGTGCATGGACACACATAAAAAGCTCACCCAAAAAATCGAAATTAATAAAGCTCATCTAAACTTGAATGAGTCGTGCAAAATACATCACATCACTTCAACAAATATGAGCAATGATACTAAATGGTGGACTACTAAAAATCAACATTCGACATTTTTGTGGCTTTTCTTTTCTGATGGTACAATATAAGGTAGTTTATATTTTAGTACAAGATGGTCACAATTACTTAGAAGTTAGATAATAAATTGGATAGCTTGGGGTGTGCAATACCCTACTCAAGGCCTCTAAGAAAATTTCTTTTAAACTTTAACAGTGGTGAATTAAATACCCCCAACGGCCTGATTTCACATTGGATGACTAGGGGGTCATTGTGACCTTCTTGTACTAAATATAAAGAGTCTTATTATATACTCTTCCGTTTTTGTTCCTAAAGATTATGGTTTTGAGATTAGCATGCATGACACTTTTTTAATGCATTTCATACTTGAAGTCAATCGGTAAAAGATACAAAGTGGTTCACCAATTAGAGCCCATCCCGAACTAGCAATCCGTTGGTTCCAATCGGATCAGGCGATTCCAATCTAAACCATCTGTTTTTTAAACATTGTTTTGAGCATTGCACTAATGCTATTTTTAGATAATTTTGAGAAGTATGGCTTGCTCATATCCTGCATTTTACTTAAGTGATATGGTTCAATGTATCTGTAATAGTCTAAAAGATGCATTGTCCCTTGACATTACTCACCCTGCTCTTTAAACACCTTTAATTAATAAATGTAAATGACAGTGCACCATAAAAAGCATTTAATTGATTTATCAAATATCCTATTAGCATCTATGAGAAGTTGGTAGAAGCAACACAAGGTTTTGGAATTAGGTTTATTTTTTTAAAAAATAACGGGAATATTTCTCTCTCTTTGGGCTACAATGGTGCACCTTCTCTTGTCATGGAGGGTCTTGGAAATTAGCAGAAGTAACACAAGGTTTTGGAATTATGTTTTATTTTTTATTTTTTAAAAAAACATCACTCTGTCTCTCTCTTTGGGTTGCGGTGTTTCTTCTCTTCTCATGGAGGATTTAGGGATATTTGTTTTTGCCTCTCAATGAAGTTGCTGTAGACCATGCAAAGGGGGGACTATATGTAATCATTAAAGAACTCAAAATCTTTTTTATAATTTTTTAATCTGCTTATAATGAGCCGATCTATAAAGTTTCTATACTTCCTCTACAGCGTAGAAGATCTATGCTTCCTCTACCATCCAACCGTCCAATTTTGATCAAGAGAGTCATTCACAATTTGATCTTAGATCCGACATCTCAAAATATTTTATTTTTAGTTTTTTTATACAAATTGTATGAATATGAAATTTGATACGTGCCATCTTCTCGTTGGGGCGCACCTATAAAAAATATTAAAACTAATTTTTTGATAAAATATAATAACCAAAATATCCCTTGAAACTTTCAGGGGTATTTTGGTTATTTCATTTTATTGAAAATATGTTTTTATATTTTTTGCTAGTACGAGTTTAATAGAGGATTGGACGTCCAAAATTTGGCGTCAAAATAGTTCATAAAAAAAAAATTAAAAATAAAATAGTCTAGAGACATGACATTGTGATTGGGACAATCTTAGCCCTCCACTGGAGGGTTGGATAAGGAGAAG